AGGAGTGATTGCTGAGCTCAGCGCCGGGAACAAGCCCTGCGCATCACTGGCTGTTGCCTCCAAATAGACAAACAACAAAAAAGAAAGATGGAATGTGGAGAAAGAAGCTTTGGCATATTGAATACGTCACGGGGAACTTGCCAGGCTTTGCCATGCGGGCGAGATACTCTTGGTAGCTTGCCGGGCTCTCCAAGAGGGGCAGAGGAATTGAACTCGGGTTGGCCATGTTGGCTGTGTGCAAGGCAAACGCCCTACCCACTATGCTATCGCTCCAGCCCCATAAAAATGACATAAAAATTTATTAAGACTGCAAGGGGGACTGGAATGATAGTACAGCAGGTAGGGCGTTTGGCTTGCACGCAGCCAATATGGGCTCGATTCCCAGCATCCCTTATGGTCCCCTGAGCACCGCCAGGAGTGATTCCTGAGTGCAGAGCCAGGAGTGACCCCTGAGCATCTCTGGGTGTGACCCAAAAAGAAAAAAAAAAGACTGCAAGAATAATTTTTGTTATTGTTTTGGAACACGTCCACCGTCCACCTGCCCACATACCAAATTCTGCAGGATGGATATGTCGTTCCCAAAGTTCTCCCTTCCGAAATACGACACGCCATTTCGTCGGTAAAGAAACGAACAGCACCCATCCCAGACAAGGTCAGATCTGAACACCTGAAGAATCTGCCATCAGTACTCATCAATACACTGGCTCGGCTCTTCACACGCTATCTGTCTGAATGCAAGGTTCCATCCCAATGGAAAATAAGCAGGACTGTACTACTGTACAAGAAGGCAGACATCCACAACATTGGCAACTATTGCCCGATCTGCCTATTGTCTGTCATCAACAAGCTGTTCACTCGAGTCATCCTGAATAGGATCGGCAGAACACTAGATGAAGGACAACCATGCGAGCAAGCCCGGTTCTGCAAAGGATTCAGCACCATTGACCATATCCACACAATAACCAAGCTCATTGAGGTTTCTCGGGAGTTCAAGATGCTGCTCTGTCTAACATTGATTTAAAGAAGGCCTTTGATTCTGTTGAGACGGAAGCGGTCATTGAAGCCCTAGTCAATCAGGGCGTTCAAACTCAATACATCAGGATCCTCCGTGAGCTGTATTGCGGATTCACTACCAGGATCTCATCATTCTACAGGGAGGTGATCATTGATGTCAAGAGAGGGGTGCGGCAGGGTGATACCATTTCACTGAAACTCTTCAGTGCCACCCTTGAGATCATTATGCGACGACTGGAATGGGAAGGAATGGGAGTGAAGATAGATGGTCGGCAACTACACCACCTCCGCTTTGCTGATGACATCATTCTAATAACACCAAACATTAGCCAAGCAGCACAAATGCTGGCCGACTTCGACTGTGAGTGTGGAAAGGTGGGACTCCAGCTGAATCTCACAAAGACAATGTTTATGACAAACAGTCTCGTTCCTGATGTTCCATTCGCTCTCAACGGAATGAACATCTCCAAATGCAACAGTTATGTGTACCTAGGTCGAGAAGTCAACGTGACGAATGACCTGGCACCTGAATTGCGCAAGAGGAAGAGAGCGGCTTGGAACACCTTCAAGAGCGTCGAAGAAATAGCTAAGAGGATGAAGAACCTCCGGTTCCGAGCACATCTCTTCCATTCCACTGTTCTTCCTGCATTAACATATGCCCCAGAGACCTGGGCCCTACGCAAACAGGATGAGAATGCTATTCGGTCTCCCAAAGAGGAATTGAAAGAGCTATGCTTGGAGTATCACATTTTATTCAAACGAGAGAAGGAATTCAGAGTTCCAAGCTCCATCAATGGTCAAGAATCAGGGACGCTGTCGTTTGCCAAGGCGTCGAAAATCAGATGGGCTGGACACATAATGAGATTTGGAGACGACCTCTGGACTAGAGCTATTACCAACTGGATTCCACAGGACGTCAAAAGATCGCGTCACCGCCCACTTACGAGATGGTCAGACTTCTTCATCAAGACCCTGAATGATTTGTTTGAGGCTCTTTGTGTTCCTAGAACGAGCAGACACTATTGGGCTACACTAGCACGCGACAGGGACGAATGGAGACATTACTGGCGCCCGCTTGAGCAAATCTATGATTAATGGGAAGTCAGGTGATCAAATAATCAAGTGATTGTTTTGGAACACAGCCAGTAGTACTCAGGGACTGCTCCTGGCTTTGTGCTCCAGACAATGGTTTCATCACCTGAGTGCTCCCTGTCTCCCCCCCACTCCTCTCTTTCCCTCTCTCCTCTCTCTCTCCTCTCTCTCTCTTTCTCTCTCTCTCCTATAGGAATGACTATTTGCGGAAGGGGATCTCACCCAATGATCCTCAGAGTCTACTTCTAGCCCCAAGCTAACAGATCACTCCTGGTGGGGCCAGGGGATGGTGCTGGGGGTTGAACCGGGTCAGCACATGAGAGGCAACCCACTGTACCAAGAATAATTTTAAAGCTATATTCACCTCACAGATAGATCAAATTAAAAAAATGTGATTGTTCCAGTTCATGTCAAAAACATTGAAACTTAATACTCCCATTTATAAATAATAAAAACAAAATAGTATACTACAGCATAGCCAAAGAATATTTATCTTCCCTACAAAGAGTAAGATATTCTATAAAGTAGTATTATTAAAATATACGTAATTACAGGTACAGGGGTAGATAAGCCCATTAGTGGAACAGGTTGGAAAATGATAAAACAACTCTTTAAGGACTGGAGCGATAGTACAGTGGGTAGGATGTTTACCTTGCATGCAGCCAACCCATGTTCGATTCCCAGCATCCCATATGGTCCCCTGAGCGTCGTCAGGAGTGATTCCTGAGTGCAGAGCCAGGAGTAACCCCTGAGCATCGCCAGGCGTGACCCAAAAAACAAAACAAAACAACTCAACTCTTTATATAGAAATGGATATTTCATATCTAAATTAACAAGCGATTCAGTAAAAAATGTTCAGACAGTTGACCGTCCACTTAGAAAAATGACATTAAGTCCTCACTAAAATAAATTGCAGATCGCTTAGGGAGCTGTATTTGAAAAAAAATTACAGACAAAACAGATGAAAACATAAAAAAATGAATTTCAAATCTTGGCCCAAAAGATGATTCCAGCTGGGACCAGAGCGATAGTCCAGCAGGTAGGGCATTTGCCTTGCATGCAGCCAACCCGGGTTCGATTCCCAGCATCCCATATGGTCCCCCTAGCACCACCAGGAGTTATTCCTGAGTGCAGAGCCAGGAGTAGCCCCTGAGCATCGCTGGATGTAACCCAAAAAGAAAAAAAAAAAGATGATTCAAGGGGCAGGAACAAATATATTTGTGTGAAGTTGAAAAACAAGCAAATGGCTGGGTAGAGTGAGAAGCAGCCCCGACTCTTGCCTCAGTTTTTTTGTTTTTCTTTGTTTTTTTTTTTTGCTTTTTGGGTTACACCTGTCGATGCACAAGGGTCATTCCTGGCTCTGCACTCAGGAATTATCCCTGGTGGTGCTCAGGGGGCCATATGGGATGCTGGGAATCGAACCCGGGTCAGCCTCGTGCAAGGCAAATGCCCTCCCCGCTGTGCTATCACTCCAGCCGCTCGCCTCAGTTCTGTGGAGAGCCGCTCGCTCACACACAGCAGGTAGGAGAGCGGACGAGCCACACAGATGAGTCACTCACGGAGAGGAAGTCAGGAAAGGTGCCAGTTTTCTTTCCCGGGCGTTTGGCAAACAGCAAGAAGGTGAATGCTAAGCCTTGTCAAGGCGGGGGGAAGTGAGTGAACACCCACGAGGGAGTGGGTGGCAATGGAGAGTCTGCCAGAAGCCACGTCACGGTCGCTGTCATGGACTTCCCAGTGTGTTCGGAAATTGGACCAAATCATTGATAAACAGACAGGAGGGGAAAAAAAAAACAAACCTCGGTTCTAGAATAGATGATTTTAAGATGAATTTATCTCCTACAGATCTTTTTTAGATGTGTGTGTGTGTGTGTGTGTGTGTGTGTGTGTGTGCGTGTGTGTGTGTGTGTGTGTGTGTGTGTGTGTGGTTGGGGGTGTGTGTGGCAATGTTCAGGGCTTACTCCTGGCTCTGTGTTCAGGGATCACTCCTGGAGGTGCTTGGGGCGGGACTCCATGTGGTAGCGGGGATTGAACCAGGGTCGCCTGCCTGGGCGACCCACACCTTAACTTCTGAACTTCCTCTCTGATGCTTTTTTTAGTTTGCTTTTCTTTGTTTTGGGGGCCACATCTGATGGTGCGGGGGAGAATCACATGGTACCAGGGGTGGAACCGGCCCCCTTGTGCCAAGGCTGCTCGCAGCCCTTTTGGCTATCTCCCTTGCCCTGATAGAATTTTTTTTTTTAAGATGCCAATTCTGTTCTCATGCCAGCCTTTGGAAGTACATTCAGACAGAGCCTGTTGGACATGGGCGTGTGGAGCAGAGCAGGGCAGGCGCGGGCCATGCCCAGATTAAAGCTCCCTGGGATGCCCAGGGAAGTGTTGCCGGGGGCCGTGGCTTCCCTGGCCCTTCTGCGTGCTGCCTTTCTCCTGCACACCCAGTGATGCTCAGTGCTTGCTTCTGGCTCTGTGCTCAGAAGTTACTCCTGGCAGTGCTCATAAATCCTATGGGATGCCAGAGTTCAAACCCAGGTCGACCTCATGTAAAGTCAGCACCCTGCCTACTGTTCTCTCTCCCTCTCTCTCTCTCTTCTCTCTTTCCCTCTCTCTCCCTCTCTCCTCTCCTCTCTCCTTCCCTCTCTCTCTCCATCTCTCTCCTCTCTCTCCCTCTCTCTCTCTCTCTCCTTCCCTCTCTCTCCTCTCTCTCTCCCTCTCTCTCCCTCTCTCTCCTCCCTTTCCCTCTCTCTCCCTCTCTCCTCTCTCTCTCCCTCTCTCCTCTCCTCTCTCCTTCCCTCTCTCTCTCCCTCTCTCTCCTCTCTCCTTCCCTCTCTCTCCTCTCTCTCCCTCTCTCTCTCTCTCTCTGGCCCTGATCTGTTTTCTTTTGAAACTTTTCTCCGCAGGTCCAGGCTTTGGCCATGGCCAGTAAGTTTGAAGCCGAATTGAAAGCCGAGCAGGACGAGCGGAAGCAGGAGGAGGAGAAGAGGCGTCTCCGCCAGGCAGCCTTCCAGGAGCTCAAGGCCACTTTCAGCACATAGTTGGGCGAGCTTGTCTCCGACCCGCTTCCGTGCCTCACAGATGCCCTCTGCGAGACCTGGCGGGCACTTCACCCATGCCAGCACCCGCTTCCACCCCTGCCCCCCGGTGCAAGCTCCTTCCCATCCTGGTGGCTGGGGTCCACTCTGCCCTGCGAACTCCAGCCGAGGCCTGGGGTTCCCTGCTTGTGCCCGCCCCCCGCCCGCCTCTGTAGCCACCAAGTGCCTTTTTGGCCCTTTTGGCCCCTTTGCTCTGGGCGCTGTGTGGGCGCTGCCCTCCCAGGTCGAGCTCAGAGATGGGCCTTGGCGGTGGGGTCTGGCTGGACGCTGCCCGGTCCCCGTCCCCGTTTCCGGGGAACACGGCTTGACCTTGGGCTTCTGCATCTTCTCCAGTCCTTGGCTGCGGCGGAGGTTCGCGGGGGGAGCCAGGCTAGCTCTCTGTGGCGTGGGGCGTGGCCTGCCACCCAGAGGACCCCATCCCCACCCTCGCTTTTTCTCCCCTCTCCATCCTTAATTCCGCATTTCAGCCTCTGTGCATCCTAACTCTGCAAATGAAAGGATAATTGTTAAACGTCTCCATGAGCCGAGGGCTGGGTGTCTCCCCGCCCTGACTGTGCATGTTTTATGACAGCGGACCCCCGTCATGGAAGCGACCTGTCTGGAACCCTCCGAACACCAGGGTCACGACCCCCTTCCATGTATAGCCAGTTTCTGCCTTGGCTCCCCGCGAGGGCTGGGACGGTCCCCAGATGCCGGGGGTGGGGGGGGTGGTTGGGGGGGATTGTATTTTTAAAAAAGAATTCCTAACCTTTTAAAAAAGAAATGCATTCCTAACATCTTATTTAATCTTGTTTGGAGCTGCGATCTTTATTACAAGGAAAACCTTTGCATTTCTGCCCAGCTGCTGAATTTTTCTTGAAATAAATGGTGTCCACGGATGTCGCCACCGCATCCAAGTGCTTCTGTGTTCTGTGTCCTCTTTGAATGGGAGCGGGGGGGAACCGCATCCAGGTGCTTCTGTGTTCTGTGTCCTCTTTGAATGGGAGCGGGGGGAACCGCATCCAGGTGCTTCTGTGTTCTGTGTCCTCTTTGAATGGGAGCGGGGGGGAACCGCATCCAGGTGCTTCTGTGTTCTGTGTCCTCTTTGAATGGGAGCGGGGGGGGAACCGCATCCAGGTGCTTCTGTGTTCTGTGTCCTCTTTGAATGGGGTGGGGGGGAACCGTATCCAAGTGCTTCTGTGTTCTGTGTCCTCTTTGAATGGGGAGGGGGGGACCGCATCCAAGTGCTTCTGTGTTCTGTGTCCTCTTTGAATGGGGGGGGGAACCGCATCCATGTGCTTCTGTGTTCTGTGCTCTCTTTGAATGGGGGGGGGAACAGGAGTCCTTTCTGGAGAACCAAATCCGCCCCAGGTCTTTGTTTGACAGCAGATCCCTAGAGGACAGTCAGAACTGGAAAACAAGAGGTTTAGTTTTCATTCCAGAACATTCTAAGTCTGGGGGTTGCCACAGCTGACTCCTCCCTCATCAATCAGCTCCCATCAGCAAATCCTGGAACTTCCGCTTTGCTTCCTAATCCCCTGGAAATGCTGATAAGGATTAATTGCCCCCTCCTAAGAGCCCCCTGAGCTGTGAGGGACTGCACAAACCCAGACACTATTTTCTCCTGTAGGGTCACCCTCAGTGACGCTGTTAGGAAATAGATCCCTGGGGCTGGAGCAATAGCATTAGCAGGTAGGGCATTTCCCTTGCACCCGGCTGACCCAGGTTCGATTCCCAGCATCCCATATGGTCCCCCGAGCACCGCCAGGAGTGATTCCTGAGTGTAGAGCCAGGAGCAACCCCTGAGCATCGCCGGGTGTGACCCAAAAACAAACATGTGACCTGGCAATCATGCTTCCTGGGATACGTCCAAATGAATTGAGAACTTTTTTCCACAGAAACACCTGTGCCTGCATATTTATAAGCCGCTTTATTAATTATTGCCCAAACTGGGAAGGGACCAAGATGGTTCTTCCACAGACGAATGCCCAAGCAAGCTGGGACAGCCACACAGTGGAATGTGAGTTTGGTTGTCAACTATCATCGAGGGGAGAGCAAAATGAGTTGTTGACACAGAAAGACGGGGAGGAAACGGAGGTGCTCACCATGGAATGGAGAAAGCCCGCTGGGAAGATTGCTGGGAATCTGCGGACGCCAGGGGCTGGAGGGAGGGAAAGAGAACGGTCAGAGGAAAGCAGGCCAGGTAGAAACACCACTCCAGAGTTGCCCAGAGCCACCGAAAGGACAGCACCTAGATGGCCACTAGGCTTCATTTAATGACAGTGTGTCCACACTGGTACATTTGTTAGAGATTTTGTTAGAAACAGGATGGCCTGTTCCCAGAACAGATCTGTTTGCCTTTCTGGATGGCTAAAATTGGATGGAAAATTCTAGGAAATATAAATAAATAAATAAATAAAAGGATCAGGGGCCAGAGAGATAGTACAATGGGTAGCGCTCTGAACTTGTCAGCTGCTAAGGTGGGTTTGACCCCTGACCTCACATATGGTCCCTGCCAGGAGTGATTCCTTAGCAGAGAGCCTGGAATAGGCTTATGAGCAGTCCCAGGTATGGCCCCAAAGTAAGCCCAAATGAAATCAGCGCTGGGCCCTGGGCCTTGAGACACCCTCGCGGGATCTGTGCCAGCTCGCTCCTGGGGGTCTCTCACACGCCCATCTAGCTGCCTGATCTCAGTCTCCAGGGGTCCTTTCTCTCGGCTTCCTGCAGCTTTCTCTGCCCTCATTTTTTTTTAAAATTTTTTTTTCTTTTTGGGTCACACCTGGCGATGCACAGGGCTTCCTCCTGGCTCTGCATTCAGGAGTTACTCCTGGCGGTGATCAGGGGACCATATGGGATGCTGGGAATCAAACCCAGGTCAGCCGCGTGCAAGGCAAACGCCCTACCTGCTGTGCTATCTCTCCAGCCCCCCCTTTCCCTTTTTCTTTTATTCTTTTTGGTTATTGAGTCACAGCCCGCAGTGCTCAGGACTTACTCTTCTCTCCTCTCTGGGGACCACATCGTGAGTCAGAGATCGAACCTGGGTCTGCCACCTGCAAGGCATATGTCCTAGCATTGCACAGTGACTTCCGGAGTTGGGCCTGACCGCAAAGACGTTGACTCAGTAGCAGGATGACCAGAAGGGCTGGGAGACCAGGCGACGATGACGAGCAGAGGCAGGAAGCCGGGTGCCAAAGGCAGCGACACAGAGGTGGTTTTTTTTGCTTTTTTAAATCACACACAGCGATGCACAGGGGTTACTTCTGACTCTGCACTCAGGAATTGTTCCTGGCGGTGCTTGGGGGACCCTATGGCATGCTGGGAATCGAACCCGGGTCAGCTGCGTGCAAGGCAAATGCCCTACTCATTGTAACTATCACTCCAGCCCCAAGCTCTGTCTTTTCTAAAGAGCCCTGGGCTCTAGCTGCCTTTGGGTCCCGACTCCCTCGCCCCCTGGAGAATATTCTGCATGCAGGGTCCTGGGGAGATACTTCTGCGGGCAGGAATTCCCCGGCAGAAACGCTCAGAAGAATGGACTTGGGACTTTCACGCTGGGAATTTACTCCGTGGGTGAATATCAATGTCAGCACGGCCTTGTTTGTGGGAGTGGAAACACTGGCACCGACGGGAGGGTCCCTTCACGGAGGGTGATGAAGTGACGAGGGGAGACGGTGCTCAGGAGGAACCGGGAGGACTTCCAGACACAGACCGGGATTCAAAAAGGGGCCGGCGGGGCTGGAGAGATAGCACAGCAGGTAGGGCGTTTGCCTTGCACGCGGCCAACCCGGGTTCGATTCCCAGCATCCCATAGGGTCCCCTGAGCACCTACAGGAGTGACTCCTGAGTGCAGAGCCAGGAGTAACCCCTGTGCATCACGGGTGTGACCCAAAAAGCAGAAACAAACAAACAAACAAAAGGGCCGGGAGCGTGCAGCCATGCTGAGGGGTCTGTCCTATGTATTTTGTGCATCAGACCAGAGATGTAAGACTTGTCTGGGGGGCAGGGGGGGCGGGATGGAGAGATGGTACAGCAGGTTTTGCTCTTGCCTTGCCTGCACCCAAGCTGGGCTCCATCCCCAGTGTCCCAGAGAGTCCCCTGAGCACCACCAGGAAGTGATTCCTGCATGCAGAGACAGGAGAAACCCTTGTGGGTGTGGCCCAAAACTGTAAAAGAAAAAAAAAAAACTGCCCCTTGCTCCAGGAAGTTGGGGATACGTGCAATACTCTTTAGGGGTTTTGCTTGTTTGTTTGGGGGACCAAACCTGATGATGCTCAGGGCTTACTCCTGGCTCTGTGCTCAGGGATCACACCTGGCTGGGCTTAGGGGACCATAGCGGGTGCTGGGGATTGAACCAGCCAGGCGTGTGCAAAGCTAGTGCCCTGCCCGCTGTACTCTCGCTTTGTACCTGCGACACTTTCAACAGTGGTTCTGAGTGGGCAGGACCAAGGGGCCGGGTAGATCCGAAGGGGGATTAAATGTTTCCTTCAGATGCTTTCAAACTCCCAGTGCTAAGCCGTGGACACGCAGTGCATGGGTAAAACCACAAGCCACACTTTTCTGGTGGGGGAGGCTCATGCCTCCCCCCACCCCGGTCTCTGTGTTCACTCTTGGTGGGGCTCAGGGCACCTTATGTGGCATCAGGGATCCAGCCCGGTCAGTCGCGTGCATGACAAGTGCCTTAACCCTTGTACTATTTCCCTGCCCCAAACTGCAGGGACTCATTTCTATCCCCCCCCCCTTTTTTTTGGTAGATCAGGTAACACGGCCTGGAGCGACAGCATAGCGGTAGGGCCTTTGCCAAGCTGGGTTCGATTCCTCCACCCCTCTCGGAGAGCCCGGCAAGCTACCGAGAGTATCTTGCCCGCGAAGCAAAGCCTGGCAAGCTCCCTGTGACGTATTCGATATGCCGAACATATATTCAATAATTTGCCGAGCACAGTAACAACAAGTCTCATAATGGAGACGTTACTGGGCCAGCTCGAGCAAATCGATGAACAACGGGAGGACAGTGTTTTTAGGTCACATGTTTCCAATTGTCTTAATATTTATGATTTTGATTTGCTCTTTTCTTTTTTGAGGTGGGGGGTCACATCTGACTGTTTTCAGGGATCACACTTGGTGGGATGGGGGGATCATATGCCGTGGCAGAGACTGAACCTGGGTCAGCTGCATGCAAGGTAAGTTTTCCTTCTCTCTCTCTCTCTCTCTCTCTCACCCTCTCTCCATCCCTCTCTTCCTCCCCCTTCCCTCTCTCTCCCTCCCTCTCTTCCTCCCCCTTCCCTCTCTCTCTCCCTCCCTCTCTTCCTCCTTCCTTTTCTCTCTCTCTCCCTCCCTCTCTTCTTCCCTCCTTCCCTCTCTCTCCCTCCCTCTCTTCTTCCTTCCTTTTCTCTCTTTCTCCCTCTCTTCCTCCTTCCTTTTCTCTCTCTCCCTCCCTCTCTTCCTCCCTCCTTCCCTCTCTCCCTCTCTCTCTCCCTCCCTCTCTCCCTCCCTCTCTCCCTCTCTCTCTCCCTCTCTCTCCCTCCCTCTCTTCTTCCTTCCTTTTCTCTCTCTTTCTCCCTCTTTTCCTCCTTCCTTTTCTCTCTCCCTCCCTCCCTCCCTCTCTTCCTCCTTCCTTTTCTCTCTCTCCCTCCCTCTCTTCCTCCCTCCTTCCCTCTCTCCCTCTCTCTCCCTCCCTCTCTTCTTCCTTTTCTCTCTCTCTCCCTCTC